AGTTTGTTTTCTAGCCTCCTTTGTCTCTTAACCGCTCCCACCGGCGGTCTTCTGTTCTTAGGTGTCTGGGTTTTGCTCTGGGCAGGGAGCGCTCACACTCTTAGCAGGTCTGTAAAATAAGAAAGAGTCATTTATCACTCCACCCTTTTTCACGCCTTCGCCTCCTCTGGGTCGAGTTCTTGCTAAGGTCAGTGGGAGCCAGCGAAGGGACTGACAGATGGGCAGCTGGATAAGAGGTCCTGGTGGGCCAGCGCTCCAGCTCAGAACACTGACTAATCAGTCTTTCTCGAAGCACCTTGGAGGACCACAGGCGAGAAGAGGAGAACTTGAATTTTTTTTGAAAACTTGGTTCAGACTTTTATGCCCTTTAATTAACAAGGGAGAAAATAGTACTGAAATTATAGACACATTTACACAGACACGTGTATAGATATGTGTTGTGTCTCTGTGATGAATTATGTTGCCTCTCTATATAATGTCAGTTCACACGTGTATTATTTAGTTTCCAATGTGAGAAGTTAAGGTACTACTTTAAGGAACTTATGTTTAAGAATTCACTTTTTTTTCCCTGGTACTGGGGATCAAACTCGGGACCTTGAGTTTGCGAGGCAGGCGGTAGAACCACTGAGCTAAACCCCCAGCCCTAAGAATTCACTTTTAAGGACCTCTAAGCCCAGCTACATGGGATCCTGAGGCAGGAGGTTTGAAAGCCTGAGGCCAGCCTGGGTAACTTTGCAAGACCCTGTCTCAAAAGAAGGCATATTGGCCTTTTAAGGGCTCTGAGAATCATTACAGGAAAAAAAGTGTTTCCTTGCAGTTTCTAAAGTTGTTTGATCACATGCTATTGTTTCTGATAATGTTTATTATGAATTTCCAGTTCTGTTGGAAAATCTTGGAGGTTGCCTCCCCCCAGTTGTCACTCCGTTGAGGCCATCACCCAACTCCAGTGTGTGGACAGAGCTATGGGGCCAGGGACTTTAGGAAGCAGAGAAGAACACGGGGTGTGGGGCAGGTGGGCTATTCCGTCAGTGGAACCGCTCACCTGTTCTTGCAGCTCTCGCCCAAGGTGTCATTCCACAGGTCCCAGGCGAAAGAGGCGCAGATTGGCGAGTGTAGGAGTGAGCTGCCATTGGGTTAGGGCTGTGCGTCAACCCTGACCCACTGTACTCTCTCCTTTGCCCTCCTGTAACCAAGAGCTGTGTCAGCAGCAGGTGCTGTGGGGCAGAGGAGAGCTGGCGTTCCCATCTGAAGTGGAGCCCTACCATGGCAAACCAGCACTCTGCGCTCTGACCGGCCAAGGGTGGAACCTTCCCCTTTGCTGAAGCTTGTGGGACTCCTCTCCAGTGGGCCTGTGGTTGCATGGAAGGCAGATCGGTCATGCATTTTTCTTTCATTTTAAGGTGATTTTTACCAAATAGCTAACATTAAAACTACATTAGGATCCTATTTCACTCCAGAAAGAATGGCCACCATCAAGAAATTAAATAATAACAAATGCTGTTGAGGCTTTTGGGGAAAAATGAACCCTTCTACACTGTTGGTGGTAATGTAAACTTAGTACATCCATTCTGGTGATCAGTATGGAGAGTCCTTAAAAAACTAAAACCAGAAATTGCATTTGACCCGCTATTCCTCTTCTAGGTAAATTCCTGAGAGTTACAGGCATCATATTACAATGATACATGCATACCCCATGTTTATAGTGGCACAATTTATAATTGCTAGATCTTGGAAAAGGTGTATACAGTATGTCCCATCAACAGACGAATGGATAAAGGAAATGTGTTTATACACAGTGGAGTACTACTCTGCCATAAAGATACATTTGGGGCATTCTTAGGCAAGTGGCCATTATTTCTGTCATTGCTAAGAGCACTTTGCACAGAATTGAGTGCCCAGCAGGGGCCCTGTGGCCAGCCCTGGCCCTGGAGCCTCCTTGGGTGAGGTTGTACACTGGTAAGAGTGTGGTAGTAGTTGGACTGAGTCGCCTACCGGGGTGATCACCACTGTGGCCCGGTCGGAAATCAAAATGTGCATGTCCCCCTGACAAGGTCAGACACCTTTGTTTCTGGTGTTGGCGCTGGAACCTAGGGCCTCATACGTACTCAGAGGCGAGCCCTCTGTCACTGAGCTATAAACCCCAGCCCTTTTTATTTTTTCTTGTGAGACAAATTGCACAGGCTGATCTCGAACTTTCCCTCCTCCCACCTCAGTCTCTTGAGTGGCTCGTGCCACCACACCCTGCTAAGGTCAGGTACCTTTTGAAAAAATAGTGTACTTTCTTCTCCTTTGGTAAAATGTGAAGAAGTTTTGTAATGATTAAAAGCAAGGTCCTCAAGTATTGTTTAACAGCTGGATTGCATTTTGTAGCAGAACTTAGGGATCAGGTACTAATTTATCCCTTGTTCCTAGGAGAGGTTGTGAGTAACGTGTCTCCGTAATGGGTGGCAGGGAAATAAATGCCAAAGGTGACATTCCCAGCCTGAAAGCCCACGTCAGGGCTTCTGTAAGGCAGGGGGCACTGTTCTGTACCTTCTCATTGTCACAGGTTGGAAGCGTTTAATGTTTTTATGGTGTAAATTCTTGCCTCTTACCTACTTCCAAGGGGGTTTGGGGCAAAGACTAAGTCCTGTCAGAAACTATGTAATTCCTGTTTGTTTTTTTCCCTTGGTGGTAGGCACTGAACTGAGGGCCTCATGCATGCTAGGAAGATACTGTCACTGAGCTTTGTATCTTACTCTGTAAAAGAGTTTCACTGAGTTGCCCAGACTGGACTCCCAATTTGTGATCTTCCTGCCTCAATAGCTAGGATTACAAATACACGTGATGGCACCTAGCTACCTAGCTAGAAACGACACAGTTCTTCCATATAGCTGCAAGCCCACCTACAGAGCCCTGAAGAGGCTGAAAAGGGGAGGTGCTTACCCCGCCATGGTGATTGGGCCTGCAGTCCTCTGTGAGGCGTGTTACAGAAGTCGGAGGTGGGCCTGAGTGTGGACGGGGCCTGAGGCTCCTTCGTGTTCCTGTCCGCGTTCTTGCCCCTCACTACTCTGATTTGGGACCACTGATAGTGTGATTGAGATGTGGGGTGTGATGATGGCAGAGCTCGTCAGTATGAGTTGGGCAGCTTCCTTCTGTGTAGATCAGAATTTCCCACCGTGGGGCCCTGGGCCTTGCTGGGGAGAATCACCCCACAGCTGTGGGAATGCGATTTCCGGCCCTACCAATTTCCGGGCCCTGCCCGCACCCCTTGGATTAGTATCCCTGAAAGGGGGATCTTGGATTTGCATATTTCACAAGTTCCTGGCTGGATTCCTCTGCTGTGAAAATCTGAGAGCAACTTAGGACCTCAGAATGTCTTCTAGAAGGTTCCCCAGGGAGCAGCTTCTGTGTAGATGGGTTCAGGGAATGGGCCCAGAGTTTCCTTGGCATTAGGAGGCACCAGAGTCCCTGAAGAACTTCCAGGGTTATTTTCGGATGCCTCTCCAGCAAACTGATGGCCCTGCTTCCTCCTCAGACGAGGCAGCACCTCACAGCCGCCGCCACCCCCAACCCCCATGTGTCACCACAGACCCTGTGCTGCCCACCCCTCCCCACACAACAGGAGCCACTGCCCTCTGCCTGCCTTGTAGTCCTGTCACCTCAGCCCTTGTTCAGTCCCTTAGACAAATATTTGCAGGGACTGAGCAAACCCTGAGAGGAGAGGGGAGCCATGGGACTGGGGATTGGGGGAGGGGACGTGTGTTAGGGGAGTCCAGGGAGACATCACAGGCCTGGGGTTGGCACAAGAAAAGTCTGAATGGTCTGCTTACAAACAGGGAGTGTGAGTTGTCTCTTTTTTTAGCCTTATTGAGATATAATTGACAAAAATTATGTACATTCAAGGTGTGCACCATGACTTTGGTTTCTGTATACATAGCAATCCCTACAATAAGCTAATTAACACACGCCTACCCTTACATAGTTACTTCCTTTCTTGTGGTGTGAACTCTACTCTCTCAGCAAATTACCAGCACTGTATAGGACACGATATGATTGTTAAGCACAGTGATAGCACTTTCGGTCTCCAAGACTTACTCAGTGTGGATCTGGGTGAAGTCAAGCAAATCAGCCAGGCACAGGGGCACAGGTGCTACAGGATCTCATTTCTGTGTGGCATTGAAAAAGTCAGACAGAAACCGTGTAGAGAGGCAGAAGGGCATGGAGAGATGTCGGCCAGAGGGCTCATACTCTCTGGGCGATGGGTCCCTGACCTCTCCGGCTCATCTCACGTCTACTCTTCAACACCTCTTCTTTCCTCCGTCAGTGCCCCTACCTCTCTTTAAACGTCAGCGACCATCAGCACAGGAGCTCGTCTGCTCCTGGTACCCCAAGATCAGGGCGAGACCCACAGGCTGGAGGAGTGGAGCTGGCACTCGGTGCCTGCTTTCTGTGTCCTCTGTCTTCTCAGAAGCGCTGCCTGTCCGTTGCCACCCCCACCACGTGTGGGCGTTGTCACGGTTGTGTGATTGACGCTTTGGGAAATTTGTCTATAATATTTCTCCCGGAGAAAACAGCCCAGTTTGATACTTGTGTATTCCAGAGCTGTTGTGTTTTAAATATGCGGCGGAGTTTGAGACCTTGAATGTAGGACACTTAATTACATTCAATTCACAGTACTTTGGTGTCATTGGAGATTCTTAATGGAAATGGCGGCCTGTGGATTTCACATAAGAAACTTGAGAAGTGCTTGGCATAAGTAGATCAGTAACAGCTGTACTTTTGTTTTCTTGAAACCATTTTAGCCATTCCTCGATACCTTTACTTTTAAATATAAAATTGTATGCTCAGTTTAAAAAGTCTGCATAACAAATGTGCCAATGTAAAGTAGGCATCTCAGTTTCAGAAAATGTGCCTGGGTGTATAGGAAACGGGGGAGGATTCTGAGCATTGGTCTTGGATTTTGGTGTCAGCAGCTGTACCCCAACCTGTTTTTGTTTTTTTTTAATTTGTCATTGCAGGTGATTTTCAAAGCCAAGTCCAAATACTCTCCAGAATTACTCAAATACCGGTGAGTACCTGGGCATTTCTTTCCATTGGCATTGGGAACGCTCACATGAAACTGCCTCTCTGCCTCTCCTCTGGGAGCCCTGAATGGTCCTGCTTGCCAGCTGTGTGCCTGTGGCATCGCCCCCGGTGAGAGCCAGCTCGTGGGTCATCACTTAATGGGTGTGTCAGTTAGCTCTTTGCCTCTGTGACTGAATACTGTACCTGAAACACTCAGTTTAGAGGAGAAAAGGTTTACTTTGGCTGGTGGCTTCCAGATTACAGTCCATGGTCAGCTGGCTCCAAGGCAAGAAGGGTGTGGTGGAAGCTGCTCACCGCACTGCAGCTGGACACACAGAGCAAGGAAAAGACCAGAGAAGGGGCTGGGGGCAGATCCTCCTGCCTCAGCCTCCCAAGTGCTGGGAGTACAGGCGTGTGTGCCACCACGCCCAGCTGTCTCCATTGATTTTTAAAAACCTCCCAGTAATGCCACTGCTCTAGGTCGTGGGAATCACAGGAATTTTGTGGAAGAGTGCCTTATGCTGGGTGCTTGTGGAGAGGCTCAGGGTTAGAAGGAAGCCCCTTAAGTAGTGAGCCCAATTTGTAAAAGAGAGACCACATACTTTTCCTGGGGAGATAACCTGTGGCCTTCCCAAGATTTTCAGAGAGGCCTGTGACTCCCCAAAGCCTAGAGCCCAGGGGCTTAAAGGATGGTTAGACTTGACCTGGGCATGGTGGTATGCACCGAGATCCCCTTGCGTGAGGCAGAGGCAGAAGGATCCCAAGTTCAAGCCCAGCCAGGGCAACTGCACAAGACCCTACTTTTAAAAAAATGTAAGTGGGGCCAGGGCTGGAGATTTGGCTCAGTACAAAGGGCCTGGGCTTAATCCCCACCATGGGAAAGGGGGACTCACAGTTTGGCAGGGGTGCGGGCTAAGGGAGAAAAGGCCTGTGGTGGATGAGCGGACCCACCCCGTAGCACTGCCTACCCTAGGCACACAGTTCTGGGCAGGTCACCTGCATGGGTCAGGATGAAAAGTTAGTTTGTTTAAAAAATATTAATATACATATTATAGTTTATTTAAATATAGTCTGTGTTCTGTATCCATGGGCTCCACATCCATGGATTCAACCAACTACGGATTAAAAATATTGGGGAAGCCAGGCATGGTGGCACGCGCTTGTAATCCCAGCACTTGGGAGGCTGAGGCAGGAGGATCGCTGTGAGTTTGAGACCAGCCTGGGCTACATAGTGAGTTCCAGGTCGGTCTCAACTACATAGTGAGACCCTGTCTCAAAAAACAAAACCAAAAAAAAAAATGGGGGAAAAATTACATCTATACTGAGCATGTGCAGACTTTCCTGTTGTTACTCCCTAAATTCCATGTAGCTGCTCCCTACATAGTTCTGACATCATAGTAAATGCTGTAAGTAAAGCAGAGATGGTTTAAACTCTGGGTGGATATGTGCAGGTTCTGTGCCTTTTGATGCGCAAGGGGTATGCCATCCAGGGCTTTGGTGTCTCGGAGTCCTGGAACCAGTTCTCTGTTGATCCTGTGAGTCCACCGGGTATGATCGAGCCTAACTTAAAGTTCTGGAAGTTCAGGCCACTATGTATCAGTGGACAAGCTCAGAAAGTTCTTCTGAAGTCAAAAAATGACACTACAGGCCCTGGGCCAGGATACAAGTCCTGAGACAGCCTGTCCTGGCTTTTGGTTTTCTCCTGATGGTGCTGTTACCCTTCACTCCTTTCTGGGTTGTGCTACTTACATTTCCACCAGACTGTTCAGCTGGGACCGCAGAGTCTACTAAGAAATGATGTGAGCATCCCTAACAAGAAAACCCCAAATCCAAAGTGCCCTGAAAACTGAACTGCCTCAGCAGCATGATACCGGAGTAGGACATTCCATGCTTGACCTTGAGTGACAGATGCGCTAAAAATGTTGTCTAACATCATCTTCCCATTAGAAGGCGTATATGAAACAGGGGAATGGTTTGTTTAGACTTGGATTCCAGCCCTACGATATCTCTTTATGTATACTAAGCAAATATTAAAAAAAAAAAATCTAGAACCTGAAAAAAGCACTTCTAGTTCCAAGCCCTCTTTTGGCCAAGGGATGCTCAGCCTATAGTAAGTTCAAGTAATCTGTGCATTTGTGTGTGTGCCTGGACGTGTGTTTTGTTTTCAGTACTGAGGATTGACTCTAGGGCCTAGAGTTACATCCCCAGCCCTTTTTAAAAAAAATGTTATATTTTGAGACAGGATCTTGCTAAGTTTTGCAAAGTTGCCCAGGCTGAACTTGAACTTGTGATCCTCCTGCCTCAGCCTCTCAGAGTGCTGGGATTACAGGAGTGTACCACCATTTCCAGTAACAAACCAGCCGGCCTTTACTGTGCACCTAAGATATTTGCTCTCTGGTTTCTCAGTCATAAACACAGATTCGCAAGGAGTCTGGGGCAAAGAGTGCGTGAAGACTGGGGCGGAGCAAATTCTGACTGGCTCAGGGGACTGGTTTTCAGTGATCAGAGGTGGAACAAGAACGCACTGGGAGGAAAGGAAGTTGCTTCAGCAGCTTTCAGTCCCTGAGCCCCAGCAGTGGGGTGGGTGTTGGAGTGACATGTATGCCGTCCAGGAGATCCAGGGTCATGGGGACACCCAGGAGAATGGGCTGTGCTCTCCTGTGACTGTCCCGTGGGGAGGAGGTTTGCAGAGATGGGGGAGAAGATGGAGAGAGGGACATAGTTGGATCGGTACTTTGGAAGGGAATGCTTGGGCCCGAGAAGATGGGATTTCTTGAATAGAAGGGCGAGGTTTCAGTGGGCAAATCCTGTTAACTCAAACTTGCTAATTTAGTAGCCACGTGTAAAGAAATCCTAGTCGTTCACATTTAGGCACATCCTTGGTCTTGTCTGTTCAACTCATCGTTTCTCTTAAACCGGATGCCACTGGGGACATGGCAGGCCATGACTGGTCCTGAGAGGTGCGCTGGAATGCTGGCCCCTGAACAGGCTGGCTTCCTTCCTTCAGTCACGACTCATGTGAGATTGAACATAAACCACTGGCTAGAAGTAGAGGAATCTTCCTATCCCAAGCTGTTCCTTTAGCGATTCTGGGTTTTTGAAGATAATTTCTATCAACCCAGCCAAGAGCCACTTTACTTTATAAAGTTCCCACTTCCCTAACACATCAGTAATTCAGCCTTGCTGGAATTGGTGCCAGTTGATTCAGTTTTCCTGTCAGCAGGTCTTCTCTTTGGCTCAGGAAAAGGGAGTGCTGGGTGTGGGAATACTCGTAAGTACTTTGATTTTTAATCTTTTCCATCCATCTTAATTAAATTTTGTGGTACTGGGAATCGCCAGGGCCTTTGCATTAAGCTACATCCCTAGCTCTTTTTTTATTTTATATTTTAAGACGAGGTCTCACTAAGTCACTGAGTTGCCTAAACTAGGTTCAGAATTGTGTTCCTCCCGTCTCAGCTTCCCAGAGTATTGGGATTGCACGATTGCACCATACCAGGCTCACTTTTGATTGTTTTCTTTCTTTTGGATTTTGAGACAGGGTCTTCCCTTGTATCCAGGCTGGCTTTGAACTCACTACATAGCCCAGGCTTGCCTTAAACTTGCGGCAATCCTCCTGTCAGCCTCCTGCCTCAGCTGAGATTACAGGTGTGTGCCACCGCGCCTGGTACTTTAAATTTTTCATAAATACAAAAACATGAGCCAGGCTCTGCATTTCCCTTTAAGAAGGCTGTGATCTTAGAAGAGGAATTGAAGCAACGCTGACTTCTCCTCCCAAGGGCGGTGGTAGTAGGTGCCCAGAAGCATGCAGGCTGTGCCTCTTCCCAAGCTCAGTAGGAAAAAATTATGAGAGAGAAAAAGGAAATTTGTGAGTACAAGTTAAGTATTTGTATCTGAATTGCTGTGGGCCAGAAGTGTTTTAGATTTGGAGTTCCTTGGATTTTGGAATATTTGCACAGATTTTACTGGTTGAGCATCCTCAATAAAAAAATCAGAGGCCGGGGATTTAGCTCAGTGGTGCTGCCGCCTGCCGCGCAAGCATAAGGTCCTGAGTTCCATCCCCTGTACTCGCCGCCCCCCAAATCAGAAATCCAAAATGCTCCAAAGTCTGAAATTTTTTAAAATGGTGCCTTGCTATGTTGCCCAGGCTGGGCTTGAACTCTTAATCCTCCATGCAGCTGGGATTTTACCGGCAAATACTACTACATCTTACTAATCTGAAACTTTTTGAATTGCGATGTTGGTGCTCAAAATGTTCCAATTTCAGGGCCAGGGATTTAGTTCAGTGGTGTCACCACCTGCCTTGCCCAATTTCAAGGATGGGGGTGTAGCTCAGTAGTAGAGTACCTGTCTTGAATGTGCAAGGCCCTGGGTTCAGTCATCAGCACTACAAAGAAAAACATTTCAGAGAGCAGAATTTTGCATTAGAGATGCTCATCTCTTAAAAACATGTGGAAAGAAAGAAAATCTATTTCCCACCTTCTAGCTTTTTTTTGGTACCGGGATTTGAACTCATGACCTTGCCCTTAAGAGGCAGGTGGCCGCACCATTGAGCTAAATCCCTGGCCCGCCCCCTCCTAGCTTTAAGGAAATAGTGTAATGTATTTCATTAATACATTGCCAACACAAAGCTAATAACACTGCTTGTGCAGTTTTGCATTCTGACCTTTTAACTGCCATTAGATCACTTTTTCCAAGTTGTTTCAAATCATCCAGCATAGCCTTTAAGATGATAACAGACTTCTGATTAGTGGGCCAATAGCTCAGAGAACAGGATTTGATAGAAATTAGGAGAGGTGAGGAGGAAAGTTGCAGGCACAAAGATCAAAGTGGGGGCGTGGGGGCTGCCTGGGGAAGTTAGGGCCTAGCATTTAGAGCGGCCATAGTGTGGCCAGATGGGCAGTGACTGAAGGTGCCGGGTGGGGTTCGGAGTGGAGGTGAGCTTGGGTTTCCACAGCAGTTCAGCCAGAGGCTGGAGGCAGTGTGGCAGCAGTGAGGGCTGGCAAGGGGGGTGCACTGTCGACCCTGACAGGATTCTACATGGCTGGGGGTGGGAACACAGTTTAGGGATCTGTGAAAAGTCCTGGTGCCCCTAATAGAAATAGCAACACTCAAGAGGCATGTTAGGCACACAGGAATTGAGTTCGGGGTGCTGGTGTGGGGGACAGGGACACTGAGCAGCAGACCATCGGGAGTGTGAGTCTGCGCTCTGGGCAGAGGTTCAGGCTGAAACATGGGCTATTTGAACTTGGTCCTCTGCAGGCTGCGGTGGGAACTGGTGGTATGAGCGCACCTCCCCAGGAAGCGGGCAGAGGAGAGCCCAGGATGCCTGCCGTGGCCGAAGAAGTGGAACCGGCGTCCTCCAGGGGCAGGTCAAGGCGGAAGAACCAGGAGGGCTGGGGCGAGAAGGCAGGGGGCCCCACGGCTGTGCGGGTGGCTGCGGAGTGAGGCCTTCTGCCTAGCAAAGTAGGTGGCAGAGACGGTTAGGAGGCTGTGCCACGAGTCCCAGGGGAGGAGCGTCGGGGCCAGTGAGCCGAAGGGAGGTCTGGTCAGGCAAGGTTCCCGAAGAAGAGAACATGTGTGGAGCAGATTCACAAAACAGCAGGAACCCACTTTAATTTCCAGCATCGGACAACGTCAGAGCATGCGAGTTGGAGGTGCTGCCCCAGAGCTCAAGAGCTGGGTGTCTGTGTCAGCTTTTCTGACATACAGTAAGACAAAAGCACACAACCTTGCGTAGCTGTCCGTGCTGATTCGTTATTATGTAAGTCTGTCATGTGCCTGCGCTAAAGGACAGAATCGTGTCCTCAGGTGCCCTCTACCCTCAGACCCCTGGACTTGACACATCTGCCGGTGGCCACTTACAAAGTGGTGGCCAGAGGAGGTGAAGACTAGAAGGTGCTGCGAGGAAAAGAGACTGGGCAGTACGCAGGCTGAGGGTTGAGCACAGAGAAGGCAGGGAAGGGACGCTTAGAGCCTGCTGGTCTTCATAATGGCCCTGGGAGGCATGAACCATCCACGATCTTCCCAGCAGAGGCGGAGACTGAGGTCCAGAGTGGCGCAGAGAATCTGTGTGCTGTCCTGCTCCACCTGCCTTCTCTGCTCGGTGCTACAGGGCCAGGGAAGGAAGGATTGCGCTGGAGGCCGATGGGGCGAATGTGGAAACCTGGGTTGGAGACGGGGAGCCCCTGCTGGCAGGGGGCGCCATGCTGGGAGGTGCTGGGTGTGGGACGTCGTGGCCAGTTTATTCACCCTCTGTCCTTTTGATACTTTGCCGAAGAGGAAGAACAGTTTATACCCACAGTTTTATGGTATTTAAACACTACCTCTAGGAGTCACCTGGAAGGATGACTGGCCCCAGTGCTGCCTGGGGGACTGGCGTCCAGAAACAACAGACCAGGGCGTTGTCAAAGTTTCCGGAGTGTGTGTGCTTCACGGAATCACAGTGGACCAAAATACAACCCTAAAACCAGACTTTATAGAAGCCAGATCTTTGATTCCCCCTGGACACATGTCCTGGTTCCCCTCTCCCATGGGGACAGATAATCCGTCCCAGCTCCGATCCGGACACGGTACCCAGGGCTGAGCCAGGCATGAGCACCCATTTTGGCTGGAGAGTGGAGGGCTGGGTACTTTGCCTGGACAGGTGACCGGCCAAAGGCTCGTTGCACATTTCTGTTCCCTCGGTTTTTTGTTTTTTGATAAATGGAGATCAAATTCAGGACTGTTTGGTGCCACTGAGCTACATCCTTGGCTGTTCCCTCGTTCTGGCCCGCCACCCGCTTTAGGCAGGCTGCAGGCTTCACGGCAGACTGCAGGAAGGGAAGAAACTTCGGATTAAATGCACGGTGTCTCGTGGGAAGCAGAGAGTGGTGTAGAAAGGAACAGGGCAGGTGGGCACAACACTTGCTGGTGGGTGTCTGGGATGGGGGTGGGGTGCCCTTCCTGTTCCTCAGACATGGAGTGCAGTGGGGACAACAGAGCGTGGCAGAAAAACTGAGGTGGCCTTGGAGGGTCCAGATCACAATCTGGAGAATAACTTGGCAGATCATTCACGTTTCTTTTTCCAAAGATACTTCTGCTTGAAAAACCTCTTAAGTGCATTGTGACCCACACTGGAGTCCCCAGGACTTCTCTGTGTCCCAAGCACTGGTCCAAGGGACACTGTTCAATTCACATCGTAGACCTCCTGCGAGGGGACAGCAGTTCAAAGCACGTCAGGGTCCCTGCCATGCCTTTCCCTGGTGTCACTTGCCCCTGTAACGAGAGCTCCCAGGAAGGCTCTGCACCTGTGGTCTCTGTCCTGCCTGTGCCCATGCACTGTGCCACACACAGACCGGCCTTCTCAGACTCCGAGAGGGCGGCCACCACCCCTTGGCTGCTCAGCACCATGTCCCTCAGTCTCCCGCTGGCCCTGTCCTCTCCCAGTTCTCTGCTGCTCCCTGCAGAGTCCCAGCCCCTGGCTCCTCCTGAATGTCGCTCTGGCTGTCATCTCCAGCCCGCCCGTCTTGTCCTTGCAGGGCACATGTGGGCTGCTGTAACACCACCTTCTTGCCACCCAAGCTGTGTGGAGGACGGGCCTGGGGAGCTTGTGGTCCCCAACACTTGAGCGGAACCTGAAGTCTTCCGCCCAACCTGGGATGATGCATTTCCTCTATGCCTGATTGTCCCAGCCAGGGGCAGAGAGCAGCACTGTGATGTAGCATTTACAGGAGACAGAAGGGCAGCCTGTGTTCCAGTGTTGTTAGTTACTTTTGTTGCTGAGACAAAATCCCTGACATCCAAAGTTAGAGGGGAGAGCATTTATTTGGCTCACAGTTTGTAGAGGTTTCAGTCCATAATTGGCTGGCTCCAAGACAGGGTGCAACAATTCATGGCAGTGGAAGACGGCAAAAGGAGCAAGAGAGCTTAACAGCGTCTTCTGGCCCCTTTTATTCAGAATACTTAAGGCAGCTAGCACTCAAATCCTTAATCTTAGTGCCCTTAGGTCTAGCCCCACCATGAAGCAGTCATGCTGTAGATTCAGCCACCTCTGAAAGAGCAGGATGCTTTGTGGGGGACATCTAAACACAAGCCCTAACAGGTGTCTAGCACATCTTGGACTAAACCCTCCCTTCTTAACACAGCCAGGATCTCCTGCCACCTGCAGTGTAGACTCAGGGAACTTATCATCTAGGTAGAGATGGCATCGGGCAGGTTGTTGGCCATATCTCTTGTTAGAAGCTCTGATGAGTCAGTGAAAGTAATGTGAAGGGGTCCGGGAAAGCTGATGGCAGACACATGATTGTCATGTGCATGTCCACATGTGCACCGGGGGAGAGTAGGCAGGGTGTGTGGAGCTGGGCAGGCAAAATCCTCTGGCAGAACATGGGTTCTGAGAGCCATGTGAGACTCTGTTAGTGATGGTGCAGAATTAATTACAAGGCATGAAATCCCTCTCAACTCAGTTTTCCAAAGTAGGAGTTAGAATGCCACTTTGTCATCTGAGGCCTGGGCCAGGGCCTCCCCCCTCTGTCCCGTCTCCGCCTGTTTCTTCTTCTCCTTTCCCCCCTTTCTCTCTCTGCCTCTGTCTCTCAGCCCCACCCATTTTCCCTTACTCCCCATCAGTGGATGTCTGGGGCCAGAACAGAAATCTGGGTTCCTGTGTCCTGGTCTGAGCATCGCCTTGTAGTTTCACATACCACTCTTGTTCATGGTTTTCTGTGCTCTGAAATGAATCACAGATATATTCAACTTGAATCAGCCTATCTTTGAACAAACAAGGCAGTTCCTTATTTGTATATTACCACATGGTGGTCACCTGAGATAAACAGTGTGGACGCCCAGGAAGAGGGACTTCAGTTGCAGCTAATCTGAGATCTTACACTGACTGGCTCTCCTGGGAAGTGTGGTTCTGTGAAGGCCAGTGAAATAGAGTTTCTGTTTAGTTAGGGCAGCTCCTGTAGTAAGAACTTCATCCAATAGTGAGGGACCCTGGACTCCACTTCAATGACTTTTAAGGGGGGGTAAAACATCATATAAAAAGTTGCATCACACAAATACAGCTCTGCCCTTTGGCATCAGTGGTGAGATTAGTTCCAGCATCCGCCTCAGAGACAACTCCTCCGACACTCACATCAGATGACACAGTATTTATGTAAGACCCACATACTCCTGTATAACTAACTTTAAGTCATCTCTGAATTTAATACCAAACACAGTGAATGCACTGTAAATAACTTACACTGTATCACTCAGGAATAATGACAAGAAAAAAATGGACACGTTCAATTCAGGTGCAAGTAAAATGTTTCGTCCAAGTTGGTCAATTCGGACTGTGGACCTAGTGGTTGTGGGGGGCTGACTGCATCGTTTCACTTGACTCCGCACACACCCTGTGCCGTGGTACTGCAGGGTCTCACTTTCAGGGCCAGTGCTCTCCCTGGAACCCCGTCTCAGCTCAAGCACTTGGCCTGACCTTCCCCGAGTGGAGGGAGTGTGTGGGGTCTCACGTTGGCCTCAGGACCTCCTGGAGACAGTGAAGTCCTTTATCAAGGACCCTTGGGCACAGCTTGTGGCCGGTTAGTGACTCAACTCTGGAATGTCTGCTGCTAAAGTCCAAGCTGTTAGATGGGTTGCTTTGGTGTATCTACTTTGGCGAGGTTAGCCATTGTATTTCATAGCCTGCTGATCCAGAATGTATGCCATTGTGTAGGAACTGGTGCCTTAAATTTCTCCCTCTTCCTTTCTAGGTTGCCCCTCTATCTGGTCTCCCTCTTCGTCAGTCTTGTTTTCCTGCTGGTGAATGTGACCTGTGCTGTCCTGGTGAAGACAGGAAACTGGGATAGGAAGGTCATCGTCTCCGTGCGAGTGGCCATTAACGACACACTCTTCGTGCTGTGTGCCATCTCTCTGTCCATCTGTCTCTACAAAATCTCGAAGATGTCCTTAGCCAACATTTACTTGGAGTCTAAGGTAGAGTGGGAATGTGTTCAGAACCCTCCCATGACACTTGTTTTAAAAATAGGTGTCTTAATTTATAGACAAAACCAATCTTTTTCGTACCTGTCCTCTAGCAAATGATTAGCCACACTGGCCACCTGGACATAGGGGTGTGTGTAGTCCACTGAACTTTGTATGCAGGGACTGTTCCATTCCAGGTGGCTTAAGAATGTTAGTGTGTGCAGAAATCACTGGCAGAGTGTTCAGTCTTTGGTTTATAGTTATTTAACCCATATTTTAAAGGATTGGTGACACCACTTGTACCAGCAGCACTATAACAAACGTTATCTAGTGTCACGTCCCTTGCACATTCAGAGCACTGTGTGTATACACCTGATGACATCCTTACAGGTCTAGTGGGTCAGGTAGTTATAAGCCCCATTTTAGCATAAGGAGAGTGAGGCACGAAGAGCTTGTCCCAGGCCATGCAGCTAGCAGGTACAAAGCTGAGGGGCACACGTGGCAGGATCTGTGGCCTTTACCACCTCCTCATTCCGCTTGGGAGACTCTCCTTTGAGGTAGAGATGGGTTCTGGAGACTTGCATGCCTGTGGATGGTTCTGAGATTGAGCCACGCGTGGGTAGGAGGGACGGTTCTGGCCCGTCCTCTTCCGTGCTGTGCCTTGTACCCTCAGCTCCCAGTCTCCAGGGTTACAAAGGGCAGATGTGTGCAGATACGCTGTACCGAAGTGCATCTGGTCAGCTAGCTCTCCTGATTCCCTCACTGAGATTCCAGACCTGAGCCCGAAAGCCTGGTGGGCAGTGGGGCCAGTGCTGACTGGGTACCCTGCCCCTGCCCTTGTCCCTTTCTGGACCTGGCTTCCCTCATTAAACGGTTGGGTGATCGGCCCAGCTCCTCCGGTTCTGATGCAGGGCCTTTGTGCACTGTGGACGATCTGCCATCCACCTGCTCCCCTCAGGGCTCATTTGACTGTCATGTTTTTGGTCCGAAGTGGCAGCTTTGTCCTTCACAGTATGGTGTCTTCAAAAGTGATCGGGTAAAGGGCTGGAACAGATTTAGTTCAGTGATGCCGTCACCTGCCTCACAGGTGCAGGTCATGAGTTTGATCCCGGTACCAAAAAAAAAGTGATCAGATTAAAATCTGTTCTTCTAACTTTGACTCTCACTGGGCATCTTGGGAGTTAGCCAGATTCTTGCCAATCCTGCAAGTTGGTTTGACAAAGTAGTTCTTTCATTTAGGAATTGTTGCACTGGGGAGGGGGCACTGGGAATCTAGCTTAGGGCCTGGGCACTTGCCAGACAGATGCTATCCCGCTGAGCTACATTCCTGACCCTCCATTGTATTTTAGACTTGATTTTACCTTAATTTTCTGTTATTTTATCTCCCATGTAGGAACTAATCAAGGCATTTAAAAAATAATGTAGACTTCAACAGAAGAGGTTCACTTGTAGACTGTCAAAATACCATTTCACTCCTTGTGGTTTATGAGACAACAAAGAACTATTGGGGAAATGAAATGGTATTTTGGGTTTAATGACTTCAAATACAAAACTCAGTTTTAGTTTTTGTGGTCATGTTAACCGTGTTTGCAACTAGTGTTCTTTAATTGGCTTGTGATGAGCATAGAGCAGAGCATGGGTCATGGGTTTCCATGTAATTCCACTCTGAATCATATCAGTACTCATATGCTGGTCCATCCTCAGTGGCTGTGGGTTTTGAGAAACAGCACATTGTAGCACACTTTGCAGTGCCTCCTCTCCCAGCCCGTCTTTCTGAGACTGTTTCTGTGTCCCCTGAGCCAGAGGCTGACCTGGGTTCACCTGCTGTGCCCCTTGTCTTGGGGGGGGCGGGATCTTGGAGCTGAGTATGACAGTGGGAGACTTAACACCCCATAAGCCCTCTGACTTTCTAGGCTTGAGGCAGAAGGTCTGCAGACACTGAAATGTCAGAGTCATTAGCCATTGGCTACCTTGACACCTGAAGTTACACGGAGTTGCCAAGGGGTTTTAGGACTAGGGTGGAGGGTTCTGAGATCTTATGTGCTTTCAGCACCTCTGAATCCACCCCACCCCCCGGCTCCTGGGTGACACCAGGTGAGGGACAGGCCAAGGGGTCATTGTCCTAGACCTGCTATGGCCCACCCTGCTGGCTTTTCTTTTACAGGGCTCCTCTGTGTGCCAAGTGACTGCCATCGGTGTCACCGTCATCCTGCTGTACACCTCCCGGGCCTGCTACAACCTGTTCGTCTTGTCCTTTTCTCAGATCGAGAATGTCCACTCCTTTGATTATGACTGGTACAATGTATCAGACCAGGTGAGTGTAGGTGCCACGAGGCGTGACTGGGATGGGCACCATTTGCTTTGTGGCATTCCATGTGGCAGACACACTGGCTCTTTGTTTCTGCTGCTGAACAGCTGGGCGACTTGCAGCAGCCCTTCCAGTGTGTTTTGTGCACCCTCATCTGTCAGGTGGGACCAAGGCACTTGCCTTGTTCTGGCTTACATCTCCTGACAGTATCAGATTAGAGATGTGCAGACATACAAACCTGCACAACGTGCACATACACTTCTCCTTTCTATCTCGTGGGGGTTCTTGTCAAGCAGTATTTGAACTTTTTAAAACAAGCTTCCTTATAAATGTGACGGTATTATTAAAGGGTAAAATTTGCAAAGATAAATGGTACTCAGGTGTGAGAATGGTGAAGTTAGATTTTTAATGCAGAACAGCAATGGAGAAAACCTAGACCAGAGTGGATGAAGATGTAAAGGTTTAGTAAAACCTCACTGCACTGGTGGTCTCAACAGGATTCTTCTCCTGTGCCCAAAATGCATCCTTTAAATTAATAAATTACCAACTGTAAAGCAAGTGAACAAAAGTAGGAAAATGTAGCTCATAAAAGGTAAAAAAAAAAAAAAAAAA